GCATCAAAAGACACTTTTTTAAATTTATGTACATCGACATACTAAATCATAATTTTAAAATTAAAGGGGTATTTTTTTGTTATCGTTCAGACTTGGAAGAAGACTTGAAATAAATAGTTGAATTGATAGCCTGATAATTTAATGATACCCATGCCACTGATGGGATTTCTGAGCAGTAATGTGAATGAACTTTTTATCTTTCAGTGGTTTGACGAGACATTTTGTTGGAACTTGAGCGTTTTGCATCACTGTGTTTCTCATCTGTGCGGCCCGGCAACTCAGGATCGGATCAGAACAATACAGAACTGGCCCAAGGTGAAGTGGTTTTAACTTCAATGTAACCACAGTCGGGGAACGAGAGGTGAGATGTTCTGTTACATTATTTCCCCCACAAATGGGGACCTTTTGGACTACACAAACGATGGATGTGTGTGCTTTTGCTTTTTTTTTTTTTTTTTTTGGAAATCCACATATCAAATCCAACACCACTCAGAACTGCAACAGTCTGTTTGAACCTCTGAAAATGAAGACACTGGGGAAAAAAAATCCTGCCCTGGAAGAACTGCTCGTTTCAGTTTTTGTTCATTAAAGACACTAGGAATCCTCCGCAAGACCGTTAGTCCTGTGAAGATGCTAAAAAACTATGATTTATTTATTTATTTCTGACAGCAATCACTCATTTACACATTCCAGAAGATCACAGTTCCTATTTTTGTCTTTTATGCTCTTTGCACGTTTGTTTTCTCTCAGAACCCTGCAAGCACAACGGACTTGTTTTATTAACTGACGGTGGGGAAGACTGATGCTTTAAAAGTCTTTTCGTGTCCGTTTTTTTAAAAAGCTCACTTTACCTGATGGAAGTAGGAATTGTTGAACTGACTGTATTTGACATTTTCTGGACTTTAATCATCATTTATTGTAAACCATAACTGAACTTGTGATCTGGAGAAAAGTCTTGATCACTCCATCGTTGTGACTGAAGTCAAATTATTTGTAATTTTGATTTTTTTTTTTTAAACATTTTTTATTCCTGAGCTGTACTTGAACATGACTTTTGAATCAGAGGTTTTTATTTTGGGTTTACAAGCTGTAGCTTATACATGCACATCCTATGGGGTGGGAGGGAGTGGCACTTTTTCTTATGCTACTTTTTATTAGTGCACGTTTCTAAAAAGTATGCTTGCTGTTCAACTATATTTAAGAAACGTGCACGCTGCACAGTGGTGTCACTTGGAAACCGAATGCATCCACATGTGGAGATGCCAAATATTATGTCTGCCTAAATGAGCACCGAGGGGAAGGGGCCATGGTTTGTACACGTCCACCTAACGATGCGTGCTTTTAAACTGCAGCTTGTATTTTTAAAGCTACAACAGAAAACAGAAAAGGGTCGCAGCAAGTACTTTTAAAGAAAAAAAAAAAAAGCCTCTGATTGCATTAAAAATGGTCTAAAGTGAAGGAATTAAAAATAATTACAATCTGATGTCAAAGTTATGCCTGAAAATATGCTTTGAGGTATAAAAATATGAATATAATCAATGTGATATTTATATGCCAAAAAATGGAGAGGATAAAGGTTGTTTCTGTTTACAGGATCTGATATTTGCTTTGCTGAAATTATCATACTGATGTGTCAAAACTCTTCGGTCTGCTCAGAGAGTTCAGAAGACAAATCTGAAAAGACCTTTAAGTTGTTGCAGCTGAACAGTTTTGATTATATGGTTGCTTTCCAATGAAAGATTTAAAATGCAAGTGTTTGTGTGTATTCTTGATAAATGTGCTCATTATTTGCTCCTCCAGTTCTTCTCGTTGCGTGACTCTTAACTTCTGAAGTTTTCCTTTTTTGTCTCTCCACTCTAATTCCCCCAATGCTTGGTGCTCTTCTTTCTCTGCCACTGAATATTTTACGAAGCAGAAATGTTGAAGCAAAACCCCTGAACCTCAGGGTACAATTTTTCCTGAGTGCTTTTATAGCTGAAGGAAATGATCTGGCCCTCTTTTTCACATCACAGAATAATTCCCGCTAAAGCATTTGTGCTTGGCACGAGGCCGCGGCGCACACTTCTTCCCGTTTGTGTTTGTTTTGATTGCAAGTCATCAGGTTGATGTCTTCCTTTCGAATGTGCTGTTTTCTTGCTTGTCGTCTTGTCAGAACAGCTTCGTTTTAAAATCCCATTATGTCAGCAATTGGATTTCGGCAGAGCCTTTTACTGAGTGACTAAACCAGCTTTGAATTAAGCAGCTCTCGCAGTTGCATTTCTAAAGATAAACTATTTCACTGATCACGCTCACTGACAGGAAACAAATGTTTTAAAACTGTATTTAATTGACAAGTAAAAACATTTTCTCTGTCACTGTATAAGTCCAGTGAAGTCTTAATTTGATTTGGAAAAGTGCCATGCCCATTCCTCCTCAACAGGCTGGAGCCACGATGGAGATTTCTGGGCCCCTCGAGACCTTTTCTGTTCTCTTGACGCCCTGTTTTGTCCCTTTGATCCACAGACCAACAACCGCCCTATCAGCTTCTGACCAGGTGGTTTAAAATAAGCGTATTTACGAAGGCATTAGGCTTAAGCAATCCGGATCTATTCCTACTACTTGGCACTGAAACAAATCATTAGGAAAGATCAAAGCTGAGCAGCTCCAGCTGAAAGGTCAGTTCGTCCTGTAACCCTGCAGGAAATGTCACTTCACGGAGGTAGCTGACCTCCAGATCTCTACTGGAACTTGGAGACGAGATCCTCATGATTCAGTTTATATACTGACAATGTGTGAAAGTTTTTAGCAAGGTCCAATCATTCCATATTTCTGTCTCGATCCATCCGGCTAAAGTTTGTGCTTCAACTCGGACCGTGTTGCCTTCTAGCACAAATTATAAAGATTTGTGATCTTTGGTCAAATGTCGTTGGAGGAGTATTTCATTTCAACTCGACCAGTTTTTCATCTTTGATATTTTTTGTCTTTTCCATTCATACTATGAGGAAATCTCATGTATTTGAAACAGACCTTATTTTTTTCATCAAGTTCCAGCCACCTAAAACGTGTGGATGTGAGTTGCAATGTTAATGAAAATACAGTACTGTACTTGAAAAGGTTTAGAATTTGAAATGTCTACAATAAAATGTTTTCTTGCAATTTGAACATTTTGTGTACAGACCCTGATTATTTTGCATGTTTCTTTTTTTTTTTTTGCCTGATGACAGGACCAAAATCAGATTAAATCTGTTGTAGTTAATGCACTTTGAGTTTGAATGCTTAATTAATTGGTTTAACACTGCAAATCAAGTGGCTTATCATTAAAAGAGCATTCCTTTGGAAATTGTGCAATGACTTAAATGAAAATGACAGGAAAAGCAGCCAATGATTAAATATAATATTTAGACAGCATGAATAACCACTGGTTGAGACCATTCCCCACCATCACAGACCTCTACACCTCCAGATGCAAGAAGAGGGCCACCTGCATCATGAAGGGCCCCACTCACCCAGTACACACACTTTTTGCCCCACTCCCCTCAGGAAGGTTAAGGAGCATTAAGTGTAGAACCACTAGACTGAGGAACAGCTTCTACCCTGAAGCTGTTAGACTCATGAATTCTAACCAGAATAATCACTGTGAACAATCACGTTGCTGCTGATGTTTTATGTTGCTGTGTTCATTCGTACTCATCTGCTCACACACTCATGTTCGTGCTGCTGTTCGGCGTATTGTTTTTATGCTATTAGTGCTTAGTGTTTATTTAGTTGGTTTTTTTTAGTTCATATCTTAGATCTTATTATTGTTTTTCTTTTACATTTTATTGTTGAATAACTGGGACCTTGTGTACATAATTTTGCTCCACGTGGTGTGAACAACGATAAAGAATGTCTGAATCTGAATTTACACTTTTATTCTTAAAGCAAAATAAAAAGAAATGAAGAGTGGAAATTGTATTTATTGAAAAAACATGGTACCAGGGTAGCACGGTGGCACAACTGGTAGAGCTCCTGCCTCTCAGCGAGCAGGTCCCTAGTTCAAATCCCAGTCCAGGGGCCTTTCTGGGTGGAGTTTGCATGTTCTCTCTGTGCATGCGTGGGTTTTCTCTGGGTACTCCGGTTTCCTCCCACAGACCAAAAACATGCATGTTAGGCTGATTGGTAACTCTAAATTGTCCCTAGGTGTGAGTGAGAGAGTGAATGATTGTTTGTCTCGTTTGTCTCTATGTGGCCCTGTGATGGACTTGCGACCCGTCCAGGGTGTACCCCGCCCCTCGCACAGTGATTGCTGGACATGGGCACCGGCAACCCCCGTGACCCAAAATGGAAGTAGCGGGTAAAAGATGATGGATGGATGGATGAAACAAGGTACCTTCACAGACCTTTTCTCCACTTTTCATATATGGAGTAAGTGTCTTCCAGTCATATTTACTTATCAGGTACATAAAAAAAATAAAATAAATGTTTTAAATAATGTGCATCAGTGACCCCTGCGACCCGAAAAGGAGGAAGCGGGTAAAAATAATGGAAGGCTGGATGGATGGATTATGATTCACAATTAGATGTTTAAGATTTGGAATATTTTCCAACCCTTATTTGTACTTGTCCACAACTTTGTCTTAGATCTGTAGGAAGACTTCCTTGGTCTTCATGCTGCCTTTTGCATGGTAGCCCTTATTTCTACTGAGATGTTTTTCACTGGTGTTCCGAGGACAGTCAGAACAGTTGTATACAGTTTACACTGAGACCATCTGACAATGAGATAAAGGGGATGGTTGAGCATCAAGGCAAAAGGTTGAATTATACACACTGTCAACTTTTCAGTTTTATATACTTGGGACACAAATGGCTTTTTAAAAATAATTTAGCTTCATCAACCTGAAGTGTTTTGTGTAGGTTAATCACTTCAAATAAAATTTAAAAACTAATTAAAATGACAATTTTATGGCAATATAATAGGATACAAAGGGGGAATTAATACATTTACAAAACAAACCTTAACTTCTGCAGTGGATCGGCTAACATGTAACATTATGATGCAAGTGCTTGAGTTCAGTTGGGCCTCTGTGTCTTAAACACCTGGCGTTGACAAGTGAACTGTCAAGATGCTGGTTTAAAGTAAACATTTGTTTTTGTTATTGTTGTGCAAGCTGCTGAAGTCGTGATGCCAGTTGTTCCAGTGACACAATTCGGTGCTCCTGAGGAATATCGGCTTCTTTGTGCTTGTTGCGTCGGTCTAAAAGAATCCCATGGATGCCCGCGGACCTAGAAGCGAGGTAATCGTTAATAAAGTGGTCTCCGACGTGCGCCACGCTGTCAGCTGATGTGCTACATTTCTCCAGAGCTTGAACAAAGATGTCCGGACTGGGCTTGGCCACGCCGGCCGCCTCTGATGAAATCACAAAACTGAAGTGCGACAGCAGCCCACAGCTATGTAAAATGGCTTCGAGACGGTTATCAAAGTTGGAGACCACACCCAGCTTCAGTCCAAGGGAGGAACATCTCTCCAAGGCCGGCTTTGCGTCGGGATATATCTGAAATTAGGAGGACACGCTGGATGTTTCAACGGACTAACATTAAGCACAAGTATGAAAGATTTCATCAAATTTGAAGTAAACTTGTTCTTTGTTTATGAACGTGTCAGATGTTGCATACCTCCCAGTTTGTCGCATTTCTGAAGTTCAAATAAGCATTGTTAGCCACAGCATTTACCACGTCTGGATCCTGGACCCTACACTGGGACAGTGTCTCTTTCACTACTCTCATCCACCAAATCTGGCCAGTCAGACCCTGAGATTTGCCATAATTTGGAAATCTGCTGGAGTAATCTTGATAAACCCGTGAGAAAGCAGCATCAACCTCTGCGTAATTGAGGCTCAGGCCCAGTTTTTCAGCCTCCTTACAGTACTGCTCCCCAGCAGACCCAAGCACGCTCACCAGGGTGTCCCGAACGTCCCACAACACCCAACGTAGAGGAGCTCGCATTACAGCTGCACAAACATGACATAAAGAGCCATTAGTAACTGAGCAAAACCAAAGAAAGGTGGGCAACATTTGTTTTAACAGCTCAGTAAGACAAGTGAAATAGAAAAATCCTAAACTGACATTTAGATATTTAATTTACTGTACCTTTAAATTATATGTTTTGTAGTAAACAATGCAATGTAAAATTATGCAGACATCAGAAAAATATACAGACAACTTATTCTGATTGATAACTAAATTTGTGTTGGTTTTCCTACTAAAAATAAAAATAGATAAAAAAAATAAATGGAGTAATACAATGATATAAATGTAAGGTAATGACCAATTTTAGGGTCTATAAGGGCTGCGATCCCTTTGGAGGACGTTCTTGTTTCTGCGCATGCGTCTCAAACCTGACTCATGTACAACAGTAGAAATGGAACGCAGCCCATATATTGTAGTTCCCGAATATTCAGTCAAACGTGTGTTCTGCTGCCTCTTGTTTCATCTCACCGCAGGACAGTTTATCGCTAAAACTTCTAACCATACATTTTAAAGCTAACAACAACCATAACTAAGTGACGTAACGACGTTGTCCGACCGACCATGAACCAACCAGAGACATAAATGCTGCAGGTATTTACGTCAGTGTATTGTCAACTACCAGAGACGTTAGTCCAACGCACTTCCTGGTCTAAGTGGTAACATCATGGGTAATATGGCTAAATTAATGCTTTTTGCTTTAACTACGGTAGCTGGCGGCACTCAACCTGTAGGTTTTCACACATGACGTTATACTGAAGAGCCCCACAGAAATAGAAGCCAAGCGGAAGTCTTAAGTTACCTGTATCAAGTCCCCAAGGTTAGCCAAAGTGTCTATGAAAGTGTCCTTTCTCTTGCTCTTCGGTTTCCTCTCAACAGCAGGTTTGGGTTTTTGTTGCCATCTGTTGGAAAGCTGATGTCGCTCGTTTTTACGAAAGTAACAATTTATTTTAGATTTATTATTATTTATTTAGATGTGTTTTTTTAAATTCTAACAACCATGTGTATATTACTTTTTAAAAACACCTCGGTATCATCTTAATAAATCTAAATTTTATGTTGAAATTGTAATTTTTTCCCCATACATCCACGCCAGCAGGTGGCGGTATACAGCAATTAATCAAAGCCTGAATCGAACTACTGCGCATGCGTTAAGTTCACATGTTGGATAGCAAAGAAAGGGTGAACGTCGACGCTTGATTACAGTATATAGGAAATAACTAACGATGTAGTATATTTTTCATTAACTTTGAACCGTTTTTTGGTAGTAAAATGTCAACTCCAGCTATTCGAATGTTTAGGAGGTTAGAGGGCCTGTTTTGTGTTTACAAGCCCGCCGGTGTACCCTGGAAGATGGTTCGGGACACCATCGAGACTAATCTTCTTAAAGGTGAGAGTCTGGTGGTTTTACGAATTGTGGCTCACGTCACGATCGCTCATTGAAACATCGAGTATCGTTGTCTGCTGTCAAAGTTCAACTGTAGAAACCAGTAAAACCATTAAACACACATTTAAATGGGTTGTTCTCCAGGTGTAAACGCAAAATCTCAACCAGTTCCTCACGAAGTTCGCTTCTTGACGAGCTCTAGCTGTGAAAATGAAGCATCCAAAGGACTTACAGTGTCTGTAGTATCATTGCCTGCTTTGTCTGCGCATCCTCTAGGTAAGCTGGTGTAATTACTTGTTTCTCTGTTCTAGTGTCATGTCCCATGTCAGTGATAGATCTGAATAAACCACAGGACTTCTTGAAGAATGTTTAAACAGGAGTTTCTCGAACAGTAATGGTGTCAGTGCAACCACTTAAAAAGCACTTGTAATGCTTCAAATTGCGCTTAAAATCCCTCCCCGAGAAGGTCATTCATCATACACACATTCATACAACACTACTACATCTCTACAAAGCTAATTGAATAAATCATGCTATAGAGACTTATCAGTGCTTTAGATCACATGCATACACCGATGGGACACACATTGGAGGCGATGAGAGGTTCAGTGTCTTGCCCAGGGAGAAAATGTGACTGCTGGTGGAATCAAACCCCCAACTCTCCCATTGGAGGGTGACCACTCAGCCACATTGTCTGTAATGTCTGTACTATAGACAATCAGATTTTATTGAGTCCAGATAGGAGGGAAATTGTTTTATATAAAATATAGCAGTGGTGTATATGATTGGTTAAAATTGTACATGTTTTTCTTGTGTTTCAGTAACCGGACCTGAATTTCATCATATTCGAGTTGGAGCAGGTCATCGCCTGGATGTTTCGTCCTCTGGTGTTTTTGGTATAGTTTTAGACTTAATTTTAAAATGAAAGTATTGCATTTAATCAAGATAACTTAACAGAATATTCCCTCATTTCTGCTCTTTAGTTCTTGGTGTTGGGAATGGAAACAGGGTCCTGAATGACCTCTACAACACACGAACCACAAGGGTAATCCCTTATTTCTGCTGGTTTTAAACCAGATCTACTGCTTACGATGCTGCACTAGTAAGTTTATTGCAATTTTATTTTTTTAGGATTATACATTGGAATGTGAATTTGGGACGGCGACACATGACTTCTCTCACACGGGTCGAGTTGTGGAAAGGTCCACTTATGGTATTAGTTTTCTCTAGTCATTTTTCCTAATTTATTTTATGTATTTTCCTTAAAGTTTAAGTTGTAGACAATTTATGTCTCTAAAACTTAATCTTGTTCTCCAGATCACATCACACAGGACAAACTTGAGCGAGTGACTGCAATGCTGGAGGGAGCCAATCAGAAGGCTATGAGACTGTAAGTACTGGTAGTTTTTTTTAATATTTTTTTACACATAAAATTTTTCTCTGTACTTCCCTTTGGAATAAGACCTCCTGCACATGCCACCTATCAGTGCCAGAGTAAAGTACTGCATGTGACATGTTTTGATCTTCTAACAGGTATTCTAACGTAGACATGAGCTCCCAGGAGGCATATGAGATGGCTGTGCAAGGTTTACTGGGTCCAGATGGGAAATCGGCTCCTATTTTAACAGGCTTACGTTGCATTTACTTCCACCCTCCCAGATTCACTTTAGGTAAACAAAAAGTGTCTCATTTGCCATTTTATAATTATATATAATATAATATATTGTGTCTTGTTTGACGCCCGTGTCTTCTGCTTTTCTAGAGGTGCAGTGCCTTAACGAAACTCAGAAATATTTACGTAAAATTGTGCACGAGATAGGACTTGAACTGCGCAGCACGGCTGTGTGTAAAGGAGTGAGACGGACCCGAGACGGACATTTCACCCTGCAGGACGCACTCACCCGTCAACACTGGACTGCTGCCGATGTCATGCAGGCCATCTATAACTACCACTCCTCCAAGAAAAAGAGAAAACATCTCCATTTGCTGATGGAGAAACCATCGATAGAAACATCTGGAGAAAAACTGACAGCTACTGAGTGAAGTAAAACAGCACTGACACATGCATGTCTACAACCCCTGGCAAAAATTATGGAATCACCACACTTAAAGGATTGTCTTTTAGTTGTTTGATTTTGTATTAAAATAAAATAAACCCTATATATGTAACACAATTGTGATTTTTTTTTTTAAATGTCAACCGTATGGCATTAATATAACAAAAAAAAATTATTGACAGCAAGACAGCTTTCCTAATGTGAGCATTGTCTGCTGTAGAGAAGACAGACATGGTGATGTTTATTGCAGATGGCATACAAACTAAAGTCTTTGTCTTGTGTTTTGGTCCTTTTAAGATTTTTTTATGGTCTTCGGCAATTTTTAAGAAACAAATTGGTATTTTGATTATTACTGAATAACATTTGACGGATTTTGCCTTGATATGTAGAATTTACATATGTATACAATTCAGTATTTTTCAATGTTCTGACAACTTATAGGTTTAATAGAGCAGAACTGCTGAAATTATCTGTGACCTCTGTTGATACTTGAGGATTTTGTCTTTAGTTATTTCCAGCTTGGGGGGGGGGACCCCGAACCCTGCAAGTTTTGGTGTGGCGCCCTTGCTTTCGTTCTCCTCATACTGTTGAAGGACATGTTGTCCCTCTGGGAACAGAGTTTTCTTTGTTGAACAGCTCAAATCAAAACACAAAATAAGTATGCAAGCAAACAAAATGTTCTTCTGGAGGTCTGAGAGTTGAGACACAGAACAAATTTATTGTTCTAGATTATTACACAGTAATGTAATAAAACTGAAAAAATGCAAGTCCTTTAATTCAGACTATCTAATTACAGGGTCATGAAATGGATTAATGTTTATCTGACAGACGTGGCAGCTCTGCTAACTGCACTGAGGGTGTGTGCCTATGCGGTTAATTTAAAACAAATGGAAAACAGCACATTAGATGAACGCCAGGATACTAAACTGCTACAATTCTTCCCACCCCCCGCTTGCAGTAGACTTTTTGATATCTATAACTTGCATTTTCTGATATTCAAAATGGAAATCAGAAATGCCACTTTTACTATTTGTTATATCGTCCACCAGGTCCTTGTTCTCAGTTTTTGTCTGAATTCTCAGATTATTTTGTCAGACTTTATACTAATAAAGTCATAATGGGAGATTTCAATATTCATATAGATGTTGAAAGTGATAGCTTAAGCGTAGCTTTTAATGCATGTATTATATTACATTATTATTGTTTAGCATATATCTTAGATCCTTGTATGCTGTTTCTTTTTTTATACTTTATATTTTTGCTATTTTGGGGTGTAACTGGGACCTTGATTTCATGTACTACATGTGATGCGAATGACGATAAAGAAAATTGAACCTTAATAATTTAATAGTTTATTGGTTTTACCCAAAATGTCCACTCATCTACTCGTTCTCGTCAACTTGGAGAGATGGTCTGTTAACATTTAAGAAAGCTCCCCGTAAAGCTAGAACTGTGTATTATTCATCTTTATGAGAATAAAAATAACCCACGGTTTCTGTTCAGTGCTATAGCTAAACTAATGAAAAGTTCCATCTCTATTGAGCCATGTATCCCTACTGCTATAAGCAGTGATGACTTCATGAAATTCTTTATAAACAAAGTTATTTCATTAGGGAAAAATTCAAACCCTTCCTACTATGCCTTTCATTCCCTGTCAGATGAAACGGCTTTAGAAATGTCACTAGAACCTGAATTATGTTTCGATTGTTTTTGTCCTATTGAGCTCTGAATTGCCAAAATTAAATGCTTAATCTAAACTCAACATGTCTGCTTAATCCCACCCCAGCCAGACTGTTTAAAGAGGCATTTCTCCTAATTAATATCCACATTTGGCGCATGCTTAATTTGTCTCTAATGAATGGTTACATACCACACCGCTTTAAGGTTGCTGTAATTAAACCTAGAAACCTGATCTTGATTCAGGAATTCTGAGCAATTATAGATCTGTATGTAATCTAACATTCATCTGAAAAATGTTGAGAAAATAGTTGCAGGTCAGAAGCGTGAACATCTACAAAGAAATAATCTGTTTGAGGAGTTTCAATCAAGGTGTAGAGCTCATCATAGCAACGAATCTGCACTGGTGAAAGTCACTAATGATATTCTCATGGCCTCTGACAATGGACAGGTGTCTATACTGGTCCTGTTAGACCTCAGTGCTGCATTTGATACAGCTGATCACACTTTTACTACAGAGGCTTGAATATGATATTGGGATTACAGCAGTGCTTCTCAATTATTTTCTGTTACGCCCCACCTAGGAAGAAGTAAACATTTTGCGCCCCCCCAACTCTCAGCCACGACTGTAAATAGTATAAGTTGTCTATAAAATTGCTATAAGTACACCTCTACATAGCATTGTATCCTTCATCCATCCATCCATTTTCTTTACCCGCTTATTCCATTTTGGGTCACGGGGGTCGCTGGTGCCCATGTCCAGCAATCACTGTGCGAGGGGCGGGGTACACCCTGGACAGGTCGCAAGTCCATCACAGGGCCACATAGAGACAAACGAGACAAACAACCATTCACTCTCTCACTCACACCTAGGGACAATTTAGAGTTACCAATCAGCCTAACATGCATGTTTTTGGTCTGTGGGAGGAAACCGGAGCACCCGGAGAAAACCCACGCATGCACAGAGAGAACATGCAAACCACCCAGAAAGGCCCCTGGACCGGGGTTTGAACCAAGGACCTGCTCCCTGAGAGGCAGCAGCTCTACCAGTTGTGCCACCGTGCTGCGCATTGTATCCTTATTAACATCAATTTTAAAAAAAGATAGAAATATAGATCACACTGATGGTGTGTGTGTGTGTGTGGGGGGGGGGGGGTCCTCCCCCAGAAAATTTTGAATAAAGTAGATGCCATTTCCTGCATTCTGGTGTATTTTAATGGTTGTTTAACATCTAGTTTTACCTACACAAGTAAACACTTGGAACACCTTGGGATTCCCCTGGAGGAGCTGGTCCAAGTGGCTGGGGAGAGGGAAGTCTGGGCCTCCCTATTTAGGCTGATACCCCCACAGATGGATGGAAGTAAACACTTGATTCAGTAACTATTTTAGAGTTAATGGCACAACAAGAAGTAGGCTGATCAACAGCTGATTCAATGAATTCAAAATATTATATATTCAAAGGTGATAATTTGATGCCCAAATTAAAATTAAATGACTGTAACTTAGTCGACTTCAAATGTAATAAGATTATCAATAAATGTTTGCAACAAAGGATTTATTGAGTATAACAAAGATTCCTTCAAGAAACCTCCCAATATAAATCATAAAACAATAATGACTTCTGCTCATTCTAAATTTGTCAAATGGCCTAAATCTCATAAAGTGAAGGAGAATAATTTTAAAATAATAAATAAGATATATCCTGTAGCCATGTTTCTGCAAAGAAGGTTTAAATTTGATGTTGATTTTTGTGCCTTTTGTAAATCAGAAGATGGATCCCTCGAATATGTTTTTTTCATGTCAATACAAAGTGTTTGGTCAAACATCAGAAACTAGATTAATCTCAAACTCAACATTCCTTTTTTTTTATGCTGATTCCATTTTACTTTATGTGGATAATTTAAGCTCAGCTTTCTCTGATGACATTAATATAGTTGTACTTATAACAAAGTACCACATTCACTGTAGTAAGAGGAGTGATAATAAGCCTTCCTTCCTGTTTAATGAACAATTTGAAGTCATTTATTTTCATTAAGTACATTAAAAATCTGCAAAACTGCTAAAATCATCTCACAACAGAAAAAAACTTGTTTTAATTAAAACAATTTTTCTCAAGAAAAAAAAACTGATGAGCTTGTCAGCAGGTAAGGGGCGTTTACCTTCGGGACAAATTGAGGTTGTCGATTGGTCAGTTACTGACACGCCTTCTGAGTTGATTGACAGGTCGCGCCGTCGAGGATCCGATTGAAAAAAAAAAAAAAAACCCGTGAGGTCCAGGCCTTGGCTGGACCTGGACTTCAGAGCAGCAGAGAAGTTGCAAACAGCGCCAGAGCGAGCGGGCTGTGTGTGTGTGTGTGTGTGTGTGTGTGCGTGCGTGCATGCGTGTGTGTGTGTGTGTGTGTGGTTGAGTTGGTGGGTCCAGTGGAACGCGCTCACAAGATAAGAACCTGACAAGTTGTTTAATGACATAAAATATATTTTGTTAGCAAATAATAGAGTCCTAACATTTATTAAACATTACTTCTGTATTAAAAAACATCAAAATTGCGCTTTGACAAACCAAAAAACAAACAAACAAAAAAAAAAAAAAACGTTAAAGTGAAAGTGGGGCAGGTAACTAACGCGTGCTGCGGGTGACGAGCGTCACCAGCTGCTCAGCAGCAGAGGGAAGCGACACAGTTCAATCATGGCTCCTCAAACGACAAGACAGACATATTTGTTCATAACTTTATTATTATTAAGACTGAGAGTTGCCGGATTTTAGCAAACAGTTGCCAAACGCACCCTGACAAAATGAGAATGGTGCAAAAAAAAAGGAAAAAAAAAAAAACTCCCTGCCACAAAATGTTCCTCGAGGTCACATGCGCTCCCCCCCCCCCCCCCCCAGGGGGGCGCGCCCCACTATTTGAGAAGGACTGGATTACAGGAACGGCTCTAAAATGGTTTAAATCATATTTATGTGAGAGATCCCAGTTTGTAAATGTAAATGATGAATCTTCATACAACAAAGCTTGTCATGGAGTTCCTCAGGGTTCAGTGCTTGGACCAATACTCATTATATATGCTTCCATTTGCTTCCACAGGGTGGCTGAGTGGTTAGAGCAGTCGTCCTCCAATGCAAGAGTTGGGGGTTCGAACCCCACAGCAGTCGCATGCCGAAGTGGCCCTGGGCAAGACACAGAACCCCTTGTTGCCTCCGATGTTTGTGCCATCGGTGTATGAATGTGATCTAAAGCACGAGTAGTCTCTTTCGAATGATTTGTTCAATTAGCTTTGTAGAGATCTAGTAGAGTGCTGTATGAATGGGTAAACGAGGCTCAGATTGTTGTGTAAAGCTTTGAGTATCTCAATATGATAGAAAGGCGCTATATAAGTACCGTCCATTTACCATTCCATTAGGTAAAGTTATTAAACAGCATGGAATAAATTTTCATTGTTATGCTGATGATACACGATTTGTCCATGAAACCATCTAATCAGTTAGATTACAAGCATGTCTTAAAGACACCTGGATCTGCCATTCTGTGTTTGTCTCCCTGTCCTCTCAAACCCAAGCTGGTCGAAGCAGATGGCTGCTCGTCCTGGGCCAGGTTCTGCTGGAGCTTTCTTCCTGTTCAAGGAAGTTTTTCCTTTCCACTGTTGCCTTTGTGCTTGCTCAGGATGAAAGACTGATGAGGTGAAGATTCAACACAATCGTCTGCCTTTCTTAGATAGATAACTTTTACTAATTGTTTTATTTTATGCATGTGATTGTTTTTGTACAGTGCCCTGAGACAACTTCTGTTGTGACATGCCACTTTATAAATAAACTGAATTGAATTTGAGTTGTGTAGACATTGTAGAACAAAAGTAATGAGAAAGATTTACTCTTGAGAAAATAGTTTATTGATTTCAAACAGTTTTCAGGAGAAAGTGCTTGATTACCTAATCACCAGAGAGTTCAGATTAGTTATTATAGTTTCAAATTCAAATATTCATATCTTAAAGACAGAATAATAAGAAAACTTCTAAAACCCAATGAAGTAGGTGCTGGACCAAAAACAACATGAAGAAAAAAAAAAAGCTCACTTACAGCGCTCCTACTGCAGTTGGTGACCCAAAAGGCCACACTTAAACTGCAGAGAGTTCTTTTGATATGCTTATAATTTTTAACTTGGAAAAAATATATTAATTATAGACTTAATTTCAATACTGAAAATAGAACAAATAGAATTTGAGTTCCCAAACAAAAAGATAGAAGTGCACAATACTAAATAAAATAAATGATATTCTCTTCGATGTATATAAGATAAAAGCCCAAATCAAAATACTGTCATTCCGACAATAACTATGAATATTGCTCCAGTAAAATTTACCAGCTCTTCTTATCAATAGAAAATTTATATTAAAAGTAGTTTACCCATAGTCTAAATCAAACACCTTTATGAAAAATGAAATTAAAGTTGTCTGAATCTAAGTAATTAAGTTATATGTTGTTGGTATACAGTTGAACTCAGGACATCAACTCCACTCCTCGTAGGAGGATGATACCTTTCATCTTATTTTCCAGACAAACGGGTTCAGCAACACTTTGACTGGCTTCTTTGCTGCTGGTGTAAAACTGTGGCTTCCTCTCTTAAATCAGAGCTTTGACTCAACATCCTGGCAACAACAAGGCAAAAACAAAATCAGCTAATGTCACAACAGGCATTGTTAAAGCACTACTAGACTGCATTTTGTTTAAACAAAAATATATCAGATTGTTCTAACAAGGTTAATCAGTCAGGTCCTCTGAACGGATTCTTCTTTCATGACGTCCCATTGGCTTTCAAACACCAAAATACATTAGGGAAAATACTGGTTCATCCCAAAGATCCAGTCCCCCAGCACAAAAAAGAGTAATATTGTATATGCTGTTCACTGTCAGGAGGACTAATCAGTGTTACATCAGGGAAACTAAACAGCCACTGGCCAAAAGGATGGCCCAGCACAGAAGAGCAACATAATCAGACCAGGACTCTACAGTTTACACTCATCTCCAGGCCAGTGGTCACTTTCAGGGATAAAGATGTTCTCATCCTTGATAGAGAGGAACAATGGTTTGCGAGAGGAGTGAAGGAAGGCATCTTTGTGAAAAGAAACCATCTATCATTAAACAGGGCGGAGGCATTCATGTTCAACTGTCACCCTCTTACAATGCTGTTATTGCTAGTATCACTCCACCCTCTGTAAATAGCAAATGGCCATCAGGGCACTAACAATCTATTGTTGAGCTAATGGTCCTCCTTTAAGAGGACCATCAGCTGTCAGGTGAACAATTAATTTTGGCTGTCACCAGCAAACTGGTTGATCCACTATGAGAAGGCGCTGCTTATAAGACTGAATTTGTTGCAGCTCCTCAGAATGTCTTTTGGATAAAAGATGAAACATTTCAACAAGGAAGAATCTGTCCAGAGGACCTGACTTAACCTTGTTAGATTTATCTACCCGGAATATTGAGTATGCATCAGGACATATGAGATTATTACCTTGCCACGGTTTCCAAGGCCTCAATCACATTTTCACCTGTGGCAGCACTGCACTCCATGAAGCCAAAGTTGTATTCCTGTCAAGTAAAAACAAATGAAGTCTCTTTGATAGTTACATTAAAAAATGGCCAAAGATCCAAGATTTAAATGCACCACATTTATACCTTTGCAAGAATGTCCCCCTGTTCAGTTTTGACTTGTTTCTCTGCATGATCACTCTTGTTCCCAAGGAGAAGAACAGTCACATTGTCTGCAGCAGATTCCTGCAACAGATTGTTTTGATTTACTGTGTAAATGACAAGTCACAAGTTGAATGTGATGTGTTGAGTAGGTGAGCTTAAACGCAGCAGGTGAGCCACACCTAAAGCTTTATTTGACACACCTGCATGTAGTCAGTGGTAAGCACATAAAAAACAAGGTGGTTCAGACTCACAAGACAGTGGACGGTTTTGAAATCACAAGCAAAGCCAGAAAAGTTTCAAGCTGCTCCTGCCTTCGTGGATAACATTTGGTCGACAAAAGGTGTTGGCCACTTCTGTTTTGGTCCACTGTTGTTGAGTTTCAGCCATCACTTTGATTCTTTGAATTCTTGATTTAAACTAAATTCCAACAAAAATTTTTCTTGCATGCCTTTTTTGACCAAATGGAATCTTGTTCTTGTGCCTGAGAAGAGTTTGTCCTCCTTCGCTGATTGCATGATGGTGAAAAACCCCTTATTGCCAATAGTTAAGTCCTATGTTGCTGTATGTGTCAGTGGGTGCAGATTTACCATTTCAGGAAGGTATTTACTGTACAGTAGTCCCTCGGATGAACTGCACGACTGCATGGAATTTTTATTTAAAATAAATTATTTATCCCCTGCTGCACATGTGTGCAGCCCACAGCTGCAGAAAAAGCTTCCTCCTGCAGTGTGTCATATCTCTGCTTTGCAGCGGAGAAGTGGGTGTAGCTGAGAGCGCTGGCAGGTGAGGTGACAGAGTGCAGCCAAGGCAGAGAGCTGAAATCATGACATGCTGTGCTCTTTTAGAGCATTTCAAAACATTGTTTAGAATATTGCAAGAGTGTGGGAAGGGTTTAAAACAGATATATATATATATATATATATATATATATATATATATATATATATAAACTACTATTTACTACTTGTACTATTATTCCTACTTCGCAGTTTTTTACTAATCACGGGGCTTCAGGATATGGATCCTGTGATAAATGAGGGACTACTGTACCCCCATTTTTTAAGGCCCTGTGTTAAAAAGTTGTCTTAATTAATTTTAGTTCTATCAGTTGAAATAGAAACATTTACATAATGCAAGACTGAACTGATAATTCTAATGAAAATTGTCATTCAAGTTGTTTTACTGTGAAAAAACCCACCTCTGTCCTCACTTCACATTTAGCTTGGTTACATTAACCTGACTCATATTACAAACAAAGCCAAAGGAGTGCTGAATTAGCAGTTGAGCTAATGAAGGCATCTTACCTGGATGGAGTTTGCCCAGTAGCTGACTGCAGAAAAGCTCTGAGAGGACGTGATGTCATACATCAAAATAAATGCCTGGGCTTTGTGGAAAATATGTCTTGTGATGCTGTGAAACCTACAGGGACAGTTAATAATACCAGACAGTAAGACATTAACTTTTCATAACAGATCAATACAAATGCAGTAAACAACCTCAAAGTTCTGTTAGATATTTGAAGGTAGGCTTTTGTGTAAGAAGATGCATGATGGATTGGTTTTATTCAGCTTAGAGTTGACAAAAGAGCTCTGCCAAACCAGTTCTGAAACATGCTGCATTGTGACTTGAGGGTGAATCTTCAATGCTTTTGAGCTTCCAGTCTTGCTTCAAAAGTTGCAACTGTATCTGTATTTACAGGATGCCTCTCGTAGAAGTTAGCTTTGATAGAGCTTGACATGTAAACACTGTTATAAACACAATGAGGGCTTTTTCACATTATTTGATGAGGAAAGCTTCAGGACAATGAAACAACCTGTCTCCAACCACCAGAGAATCAAAGAGTATCTATTCACTGACAAGCCACAGCCATTTGCTATAAAATAAAACCACCCAGTATCTGTGACAGAACAACTAGATCACAATAAACCGCAAAACAACACCGTGTGCATTTAATAGCAATTGTTTTCTTATACGACTGCCATTATTACCCATGACCAGCTCCTCTGCCTACAGCAAATACCAAAACTATTGTGTTTGGAGTTGATTCCTTCTCATGCATCTAGTTTGTTGATTTACATTTTAAAAACAGAAAGTGGTCTCCATGTAAGTTAAAGCCTTAAACACTGTGCCAGAAATGAATCTGCCAGCATCATTGCAACGATTCTTCAGTTTGTGGCTATTTTATCGTTTAAAGAAAGTGGCTGAATAAATACTTGTTTAGAAAAATGACATTTTATTGGACAATGGCCATGTCTGTAGTAAATATCTCTCCCTACAATGTTTTTTTCTTCAAACAAGCTTGTTCTTACAACCTGTTCATCCATTCATCCTTCCACTTGGTTATCTGTGGTCAGGTAAAGGAAGTAACAAGTTGAGGAGGGAAACCCTGCCTTTCCTCTCCCCAGCAACACTCTCCAGTTCCTCCTAGGGGATTCCAAGGCATTCTCAGGCTGGCAAGTCATGGTTTGGTCACCTCCCAGTGCAACATGAGAGACGTCCAGGGGACATCCCAATCAGATGCCTGGACCACTTCAGCTTTATATCGGTCTTTTGCAGACACGTGACTTATGCACTTCCGGTCGCCATATTGGGGGGTTACGCAGATACCGGTTCAGGTAAACAAAGTCCGTGGTAAACAGTGATAAGAACGATGACATCTGCAAAATGGAAAGTAAATATAAAAATGAGAAGAAGCCATATAGAGATAAACTCAACGCTGAAGCCAGAGACCGTTATATGGCGAAGTTAACGTCAATTAACAACGTTGATCCATACGAGGTAGCAGCTAAGGCATGGACGTCCGAACCAGGGCTACTTCCACCAACAACAAATATGGACATTATTTGCTATCTTGTAAATGGTGTCAGTGCCTACACATTTGACGAATTTCGGAACTATAAGTCCTTGGAGGCTCATGGGCTGTTCACCAATGGTTGGGTGCAAGATTTATATTCATTTAAACCTGAAGGATGCACCAACACTGTGGTCACAGCAAAGGTAAAACACCCTAAACATAACATCTTAGTCATCTTAGTCAAAGTTATACACATGTTGTCACTTCACTGCTAGTTTAAAGACACAAGTTGGGTATGTGTGTATATACACACATATTAATTTATGTGAGTTTTGTGTGTCTGCATAAACATATACGTATATTACCTGTAATCCATACTTTAACTATAAATCCAAGCAAATACACATACATTTTCACAAATATGTGAGGTTAGAATAAGTGGAGTGTCACGAATCACGTCTGTCAGTTAGGTTTTTGTGTCACTCTGTTCACTTGTTTTGGTTCTGGGGATTTATTCTTTTGTTTTTCTTTTTCTTTCTCTGCATGTGGGTTGAGGTTTGTCTTCACTTCTAGTTTAACGTTGTCTTCACTGCAGCCAGCAGCGCTGATTGCGCTCAACTGGCTGCACCTGTCCTCCTCTCCCTTTATAAGCTCACGGCTGACTCTTTTTCGGTGCCCGGTAGTTGAACACTTTTAGTTAGTAAATGTAGATGCTCGGATATATTCATCATTTAACACGGATTCCTCATTTTTCTGGACTGAATAAAACGTGCATTGAATTTAAGGAAATGCAAACGTGAGACGTCATTTATATTTGACCCATCAAAATGAATGCGGTCATTTATTTACAGAATCAAAATTTAACATCAAACATTTACATTAATTTGGCAAATTATGAAAATAACAACATAAGCAATCAATCAGGAAAAATCATACGGCCATGATTTTTCCGTTGCTTCACCACAGACATTTATGAAAACTGTACAATTATGATCTTTTACCCACACGGATGTGGATGAGCATTTTACACAAACATTTCTAAATATCTGGAAGAATTTCTACTTGATAGAAAAGTTTAAAGATGGAAAGAAGTTTAGAGGGAGTAAGATGGTGTGTGAGGGGAAGGAAGTGTTCACCAGAATCGACACTCTCCGGCTTTCTTCAGCTTTTCCTTACAGTACACTTAGGTGATGAAATCGGCTCCTTTACCTGGAGATGTCTCAGGTGAGATTCCGTTTAACGCACCCTTTCAGCGTCTCAGTAGGATGCTGTTACTCGTCCGAAGTAATGGCGAGGCTCTGTTCGACACATATTCACCTCAGTGGAAAATGTTATAATCCCATGGAACTCGGAAGAGCTTTGTTGTCATGTCAGGATCATCCCGGCTCTCACAGAACTGTCCAGAACTGAACAGAACAGAACAGAACTTCTCCAGAGCTTCAACAGAACTGAACTCCCAGAACAGAACTGTGCAGGTACAGAACTGAGTAGACCAGGAAGTACTGACATTTTAAAGACTCTTTCCCGGTTCACTTTTGGGAGTATTCCATTGGTCAGAAACAACCAGACGGGGTGTGTTTTGTGACGTAAGAGGTTAGAAGACAGCGAGAATTGTTATGAACAGATCAGAAATGTTCTCACAGACAGAGAGAGTTTTGTTTTGGCGAGTTTAGAAACAGGTGCCAAAAACTTCTATATTTACGTCTGAGAGGATTCTAAAAACATGACAGTTCGTTCCAACAACTTGTTTTGCGTTTGACTCCAACCTTGGACTCCACTTACACTTGCTCATTCAAAAGCAGAAATCAGAAAAGGCATAATTACTCTGTAACAGCTTTGACATGAGTTCTAACTTTGCATGAGAATAAAAATCATTACTCAGTTAATAAAATTGATTAGTTCACTGCAACATCTAAAATGGTTTGAACTAAGACATTTTGATTATCAACATTTGTAAAATAGTAATGATAATAAAAAGAGAGTGTT